AAGGACTCGCTTAAGCTCTCAAATATGTCTGTAGTCATTAACATCATGCTTACTCTTATATTTCATCACAAGTTCTGTCCTTGTCCGTCCCTCCTGCGGCCTTGTCCTTCTTGACACTTGTAAGGAAAAACACAAAAAGCATAGTTTTTAAGTAAACAAGGTGAGACCACAGTTATGATGTTTAAAAATCTCAAATGATCCCAAATGATCACACTTACTGATGATTTTTCCAGAATAATCCGTCAGATCCCTTTTTTCTTCATTGCACATCTTTTTCATTTTATTCTTTTGTGCAGTGACAAACTTTGTCAAGTTGTCAAGCTCTCTGTGTGAGTCTGTGAGCACAGGGAGGTCACCCAGGGTTTGGAAGCCCTGCACAGGGAAACATTAATATTAATATTTAACCTCACAAACTGGATACAAAATGAGACATAAGCCTAAAGTATCAAAAAGCAGCCATAACCTGAAGAAACTGAATGGGATCCTCTGTTTGTGAAAGCTGACAGATTTTACTCTCTCTCCTCCTTAACTCAGACACTTCACGCTTCAGCTGCCCGAGGTGGTGTTCGGTCCAGTCCACTCCAGCTTTCTCAGCCTCTCCAACTTTCTCTCTCATCTCAGAGCACTTCTTCCTCAGGAAGTGGGTGTACAGCAGGATACGTTCCTCACAGACCCGCTCAAACTCATCACACACCTCCCAGGCAGCGTCCTGTAGGAAAAATGTACTATTTGCCTGCTATGACTGTTACAATAGTGATCCAAGCCAACTAAACAAGTCACACTCAATCACTGACTGAATTGCTGACTTGTAAACTCTCACACCAATTTGGTGCTCAGCATCTTGGCTTAGGACATGTAGTATTTAATACTCCTATTAATTTTAAATACTGTTTGTTGTTTTGTTTTTTTACATTAAATGAATGATTGATTCTAAGCCAGGTTTGTTCACCCCTGCCACTGAGTCCCAAACATGAATCTTGTATTACTCTAACAGTTCCACTAACCTTTTGAAATAATGTCAACAGAGCACCGACTCACAGCTGTCATCGCACTGGCTGAAAACAAATGATTTCCCCCCCCTTAGCTGCACTGCTAATTTTTAAGGTTTACATACTTTTTCCACTCAAAATTAGATAAAACTTTGTATTTAAAAAAAGCACAAAAAATCCTTTGCTGAACCAAACAAATGCATATTTATGTTTGTGGATAACACTCACTCTTATAGAGCCTGCAGCTTCCATTAGCTTTTCCATTTTGGCCTCTGAAGCCAGCACTCTGTCTGTGATTACCCATTTGGTCTTTTCCAGGTGTCTCTGTTAAACAAATGCAGAAACTTTTCAGGACCTCATAAATGCCGTGCAACAAATGTTTACAACATGGGACTAAACTGACTAACCTGCATTTCTTGCTTTTCTTCTGTGACGGATATAGTGTTATGGCCTTTGTGTTCATCCACCGCACACATGAGACACAGGAACTGCCGATCGGTGCGGCAGTAAAGCTCCTGAAGTTTGTCATGACGACTGCAGATGCTTTCTTTGATCCTCGTAGAAGCTTTTACTAGTTTGTGCTTTTGTAGCGGTGGCACCTGAAAATGAGGTTCCAGGTGAGCCTCACAGTAAGAGGCTAAACACACCTGACAAAACATGTGAGCTTTGAGTTTCCTCCCTGTGCAAAAGTCACACTGCACATCCCCAGGTGCAGCATAGATGTTATCATCAGAAGCTACGGTAGGAGCAGCTCCTTGTCTGGTTGTTTTCTTATGTTCCTCTAACAAGTTAGCCAGAATGGTGTTCCTCTTCAAAACAGGCCTTCTGTTAAAAGTCTGCCTGCACTGAGGGCAGCTGTAAGTTTCTTTACTGTCATGTTTTGTATCCCAGAAAGTATTGATACATTTCATACAGTAGCTGTGTCCACAAGTAGTAGTCACTGGATCCTCCAATAATCCCAAACATACGGAGCAGTCAAATAGGTCCACAGCGTGAGCCATTTTCTTCCTCCACAAGAGAAGTTACTTTCTATTTCTCTGAGGAAGGAGTGGCTTAAAGGCAGCTTGTTCCTAGTAGGAGGGCACTCAAGACCTCATTGACAGCACAATAAACGCCCGCTATTCCGATTTAAAGAATAACTGCATTAACTGGAAGTAAGTGAAAGTATTTGTGTGAAAGTATCAGCCTTTCATCAAATGCAGTCATGACCTGTTACCTAGATTCAAAGCTATTTCTCTTTCAGAAAAAATGCCATTTTGATACAGGTCAGTAAAACAACCCCTGCTTTCCTTTTGGCTATTTTGAAAGAAGTAATTTGCTAAGTTAGAGTTTATTCTTCACATTCTGGCCAAACCACAGGGCACTAGTAGATATACATGGTTTTTAAAGCAACCTTTTTTAAAGCAATTAAATAAGTTTATTTCCTTGTTGTTATTTTGGTTCTTATGTTGGCAGAATTTGGTTTCACTTTTGAGTTTGTAACATTAACCTCCTAAGACCTGAACTCTTCCACGGCATGCATTTTTAGTTTCTCTTTGATATTTGGACATATTCGGCCCAATGAATGTAAAAACAAAGAATTACCAGATTTTTGTTTTTAACTTTATTTTTGTTTTTAAGAAAAATAAGAGCCACATATGAGCATATTCATTTAAAATTTTGATAGAACAGTAGCAGTATAATGTCCTCGTAAGTGGATATCAGGCCCTTGTAAAGCAAAATTGAGTATTTTGGTCTAAATAACCCATATGTGATGTCCACATATGTGGACGGCAGGTCCCAAGAGGTTAAATAATATACAAATAAAATCCTCTATGATAGCTGGGATAGGCTGCAACCTATCCCAGCTATCATATGGTGAGAGGTGGACGGGTCGCCAGACAGGCAACCATTCGCAGTCACCCTTATGGGTAATTTAGAATTACCGATTAACCTAAACCCCTCTAATTGCCTGCCTTTGGATTGTGGGAGAAAGCAAGAGTACCCAGAGAACATGACAACTCCACACAAAAAGGTCCTGACCAGATGGTGGAGTCAAACTTGGGATCTTCTTGCTATAAGGCAACAGTGCTAACCACCGTGCACCATAAAAATAATAATAACAGCATCTTAAAATGCAGTTCTATGGATCTGTATTTGCAAGATTACACTTAGAAATGAGTCTTTTGAGAAGAAGAATTCCACTTTTATTGACATAATTAAACAGTCACATAATGGTTTAAGAATTCTCAGCATTGACATTTCTGTAGAGGATTTTCTCTATGAATATATTAGTGCATGTTTATGTAACTGCACCCTCTTGAACACTGTATACACACAACAGACCTCTGTGCACAAACACACTTGCCAAATAAATTCAGTTCAGTAAATGTTAGCCTAATGTCTTTAGCCTCACAAACAAAAATATTTTAAACAAGGACGCTTTAGCTATAATGAGCAAGAGTCAACAGACTGTATTATTATACTGAAGAGTACTTTGGGAATAGTGATAAACATGTACTGATACACCTGATGTAATTCTGGTGCTTCTGATGTCGCTTTACTCTGGTGTGATTATCCTAACTGAGGCTCCTCTGGAGACCATGAACCCAGGGTACAGAGGCTGGGAGAATGTGGTCTGAACTCTGTGAACGAGCACCATTTGACCAGAATCAGACACGCTGTAGAAGGAGAGGCTCCCTCCCTTGTCGTTCAAATACACTCCCACTGTAGAGGAACAGGGAATGGGTATTCTAGTTTTGACTTCATTGTGCCAAAAAGCACAACAGGAACTAGAAAGAGAAATGCACCAGGACTGGTCGGTGTAGCCGAAGCCACTTTCTTCCAGCTCTGTTCCTTTATAGCACAGGGCTATCTCAACCCGTGGCCCTTTCCATTCAACCTCCCAGTAGCAAACACCAGATAAACCCTCAGTGCACAACACTTGATCATATTTGGTAAATCTATCTGGGTGGTAAGGGTACCTCTGGGGGTTTTTAGCCCAGGTTACTTTGGTGTTTCCATTAGAGAGCAACAGGTTTTCAAATGCTGTGTTGGGATCCAATGTTATGCAGCAGGAATCTGAAAAGTACAATGTCAGGAAATATTAACTCAGTGAAATCAAAGTAACGGAAAGCACAGAAACTGAATAAAAATATGTACACTAAACAAATGACTCACACATAGAAAACTCCTCTCTTGTCTTGGGATCAGGATCAACTTTAACTAAAAGTACAAAACATGATATTATTGAAAGTAGCACTTCCTGTTCTATTTAATTAAAAATGATTAGCATGATTTTACTAAGCATTATTTAGCTAACTTCTCATCTTACTTGTCTCAGATATTTGTGCAATGCTCTTGGCCACGCTTTCCATTTTGTCTCTCAAGTCAGAAATAGCATTTGTGACAAAGTCGAAAGGTGTGTGCAGTTGGATGTTCACATCAGAAGACAGATCAGGTTCTGTACAGTCAAAAATGGTCTGGCAGTGCTGTAAACATGCAAAACAATAAACACATCATTAACTGCTGCCCTGCACACAATATGATCCACGTATTTGACTGTTTGCGCACCTGCAGGAAATTAATGTGATCTTCAGTGCGCGACAGCTGCTTCAGTTGGTCCTCTCGCTTCCTCAGCTCACTGATTTCCTTCTCCAGCCGATCCACAAGCTCCCCAGCGCGACTCAACGCGGCCTTCTCCTGATCTCTGATCAGATCGTTCACGGCATAGCGCCTTTTGTCTGCCTTCAGAACAATCTCAGCATAGGCTTTCTCATTTTGAGCAACTGCTGCATCACTTGAAGCCTGAGCAGTAAAAAATTCCATTTAACATCTCACAGTTGTTGGTTTAAGGGCTTAATTTAATTAATTTTATTTAATTTCTAGACAACTTCATAATTTTATCTTATTAAGAATTTACATGACGTTTTGGAAGTGGCAAATTTATTCTTGATTACACTTTTTTTCCTTTGAGGTAACAAAAAACCTTCACGAGAATAGGACAAGAGGACATAAAGGAACAATGCTGGTTACTTTGCAGAAACAGATTTTTAGGGAAAACTTTACATAACACAGATTCAAAACTTCACCTTCAGTCCTTTAGTTTTCTGTCTTAGTTGCCGGAGCTGCTTCTCTTTTTCTTGAATGCCTTGCTGGATTATTTGTTTCTTCTTTCCAAGTTGTTTCTAAAAGTCATCATTACAAAATCATCAAAGTTTAAATTACAGAAATACAGCTGAATATAAAAAGCCCCTTAAAACCCTATGACTGCTATAACAGAAGCTCTAGCAGTAACTTTAAATTGAAATTCACAACAGCATGGATGATGGTTGGAAGTCTACAACTATATTATTACCTGCTTATCTTTTCTCTCTGCTGCAGCCGAGACAGTGTCATGGCCTTTATGTTCGTCCATCACACAAAGGAGACAAACACACTGCCCATCACTGCGACAGTAGACTTCGAGTAGCTTGTCGTGCTTGGAGCAGATCTTCTCTTGTATGGAAGCTGACACTTCGACCAACTTGTGCCTCTTAAACGCAGCAGACTTATAGTGAGGTTGCAAGTGAGTGGCACAGTAAGATGCCAGACATACCAGGCAAGACTTAACAGCTTTCAGCTTCCTCACAGTGCAGAAATCACACTCCACATCCCCTGGTCCAACTTCATCCTTTACTCGCATGTTGGATTGTGCTCTCACAGACATTTTTACCATCAAATCAACCAGCACTGTGTTTTTCTTGAGGACGGGTCTTGGGTTGAAAGTGTGTCTGCACTGTGGGCAGCTGTAAATACCACTCTGATCCTCCTGGTCGAAGCAGCCATTTATACAGTCCATACAGTAGTTGTGGCCACAGTGAAGAGTCACGGGATTCTTCAAAACATCCAGGCATATGGAGCAGGAGAAGGAATGTAGTACTTCACAGCTCTCGGCCATCTTCGTTCCACATCTGTAACTTTCACTTTCAATGGAAACAAAAGTGCAAGTGATTTAATAGTCTGTCCAAACACGTCCAAAAATCTAAAGCTAATGTAGCTCCACCTATAAATCTGCAGAGCTACTTTTCGATTATTATTATTATTTTTTTTTAAATGTTAGACATTTTTTTTTCTCAAATATAAAGTTCATTATTAATATTTATTTATAAATAATTTATTTACTTACTTACTTACTTACCACTGTGATATATTAATATATTGTAGGTAGATGCGCTATTTAATAAAAGCACTAAGAGGAAAGGTGTCTGGTTAAATACAAAGAACATATTCCATGCGAGATTTAAACACAGAACGCGAGATTTCCCTGGTAGCCATGGAAACGACAACGGCGTTCAGTTTCTCAGTGAGGAAGAGGCGGAATGGTTTTCCTCTTGTAATGTTTTTATTTAGCGGACCATGGAGCTCCCGGAGACACTTAGAAAACATTTAGAGGACTTTTCTCGCAACGTTTTGTTTGACCAGAGTCGGACGGAGTCTTCCTCTAAAGACCGCGACGCGTTTTTGGCACACGGTGAATGCAGCTAACGTTACTGATGAATTAGCATTGGTGTTAGCATTGATGTAGCTGCACTAATGGCTGTTGTTTACTCAAACTAAGCTTTCCAGTAGTTTATTTGCACTTAGGTTGCTTATTCGGTTCGTGTATGTTCTGCTGTTTGTATTTGTTTTCAGACAATCGAGTTCTTTCAAGCCTCCAGCTCCAGATGTCTCTGTACTTTAACATGTGGTTCTTCCCCTGGTGGTGGATCAGTGAAACTGTAATGCTGCAGCTTAAGGTATTATGCCAACATAATTCTGGTTTACAATCTTGACCCTTTCCACTCTTATTTAGACTGTTATGCACCTTTCTGTGGTATACTGGATTTCAGCATCAGGGGTCCACCCTGTAAAGGTCGCCAGTGTGTCACTGGACTAACAAAGAAAGACAGACAACCATTCACAGCTACAGTCGATTTAGATTCAATAAATAACCTAACCTCACTAACTGAATGTGTTTTGACTGTTGGTAGTACCCAGAGAGAACCCACACAAACACAGGGGGATCATGCAAAGTCCACACAGGACCTTCTTCCTGTGAACCAACAATGCTAACTACTCTGCCATCTGCTGCATAGTTTCCTGGCCATGGATCCAAAGTGTGAATTTGATGAGCACCAGGCCACCTAGTTATTACTTTTTCCCTTGTGACATGGTGCTCCATCCTGTCATGCTGGAAACTCCACAGGTGCCTGAAGGTCTCCCAGGTTAACATGTCGAATGTCTTCTGCAACCTACCCTGTGCCCGAGGTACTAAATTAAAGCCCCTAAGTTACACAAATGTTTGTGGGATACAATGAACGTGGGCACAAATTAAAGGGAATGAAGCTGCAGTAAATCCTGGAAAACTTTCAACTGGGTGCTCAGATTTTGTTTTAGTGTTTTTTGTTAATTATTTGTGAGCACCACATGAAATATGTAGCTCACCACTGAAACATAAATAGTTACTGGACAAAACAGCAACTGAAATAACAGTAAATACCAATTTTAAAGGTTATTGAGACAAAAAGGAGAATACATGATAGCAAGAAGACTATTGTGTATCAAAAATTACAAACCTTGGCTTCCTTTTATACTCAGTGTAGTTATTTAGCAAAAATCACATTCAGTTAAAAATATGTTAAATGTATTTGACCTTTTAGTAGTACCGTGTGCCACGTTTTCACGTTTTTTTTTTCTTTCAAAAACAGACTTTGTCCCAGTGTGTTAGGAACTGTAATCTTACCAATAAAAACATTCCAAAATACACAAGTGGTTATGAAGAGGAGCAGAAAAAAAAATCACATCATACGTTTAAAAGCAAGGATGTGGAAGAATGAACAAGATTTAACATTTGAGACACATTTGGCACTTTGCAAAATTTTTATATTTCAGTTGCTTTAAAGTCAAAACATAAATATTTTTTGAGTGTTTTCAGCTGGACATAAAATCCCAAAACAGTAATATCTGACTTTTTTCGATACTTATTATTTTAAAAAAGTAAATCTGAATATGCAACAGGAAATTTGCTTGAGTTTATCTCAGAGTGTAGCATTAAAAAAAAAAAACCATTACAAAGTGGATACAAGTTTTAGTGTTAGACTATAAACTGTGTTGTTTGGCTTGTTATTTCCACCAGTATCCTGCTTTGTCAGACTACTACAAAATCATCCTTGTTACTATTCTTATCCTGATGACGCTGATTGAGGCTATTCGACTCTACCTTGGTTATGCCGGGAACTTGCAGCAAAAGGTGCATTTATACATTCACATATGAAATAAGGATATTTGTATAATTATATGTAAAGAAACCCAGTGAGTGGACAGCAGAGATGAAAACTTGTCAAATGACTGTATTTGTTGAAGGTCCCAGAGCTGGCTGGATTTTGGCTCTTGAGCGTCCTGCTGCAGTTTCCATTAATCCTGTTTCAGCTCTTTAATGAAGCCATCCTTGTTCAGCCCCTGGAGAGAGGTGTTCACATCGTCCTTGCCTTATTCATACTCACACAGGTATGGTAAGTTGCATTATCAACATTTTCAGAATTTCATAGCTACATTTATTAACACTGATTTTATCCCTGAATGCTCCCAGGCCATTTCTGGTTTTGTTGCGCTCCGCGACATGGTCAGACACACAGAAAGCCAATTTCATCTGCGACAGTTTGACTGACTTCTCACACTCTGACGTCCACATCTGGACACATCTGGGCAAAACCTCTGCTCACATCTCCAGGGTCACAGGCTGACAACAAGAAACTGTCACATTTTGTCTTAGACATGCTGCACGGGGTAGCTGCTACTCAAGATCCGTTATTGAAAATAGGGGATTTTTAACATATATTTTTTGTATTTTATTAACATTTATTTTATTAATATGTTTTCACATTTTGCATTAAAAAACATGAACATGATGTGAATCCTTTGTCGTTTGTTAGAAAGAGCCAAAGATGAAGATTTTTCAGCCATAAATCAGGTCTTTATCAGGGCCATTAACATTAAGCAAAAAGGAAAAAAAGTGATTAAATTCAGAGTCAATTTATTTATTTCATGTTTAATAAGAGGCATTTTTAACTATTCCTGGACTTTTCCCTTCCCTCTGATCCATACTGAGTATTTTTTTTCTAGGGTTTCTTTTGTAAACAACTGTTGAAGTAAAAAAGAAAAAAAATTCCATCACTGACCAGTGAATAAATTAAGTGTGTACTTCTCAGATTAGAGGTTTTCGCTTGTGCAAGGCTGACTGTGATGTCCTTTTGACCATTACTTCTTGTGGAGTCACAGTTGTATGGCTTTCTTCTCCAAAGTGATAGAGCCTAATGTCCTTAGCCTGAAGCACGCTGACTGTGTCACTCTGTGGACGTGGAAGTTGCTCTCTCATGGGGGATGAAGGTAAAATACCCCTGTGTCTTTTGTCGTTGCTTTTTCTGAGGAAATTGAAAAAGGAGAGACCAGGGTTTAAATGAACAATGCTTGTATTATTATCATAATATTTAACAGAAATAATAAATCACAGAATTAAGAGGATAATGGAGAAGTTCACCTTATTCCTGTTAGGTCCCTAAGCACAGGCACAAAAAATCTGCATGAATCGGGTTCCTTCAGGGAGGTGTCACGAGTATGAGCTTTCAGGTCCTGAACATCATGTCTGAACAGTGATGAATCCACTGAATAAAGTCAAAGTAAAGTAAGTAACAGTGATGGAGCTATTTCATGAAAATTTATCACAATAATAACTAACTACAAACTGACTAGTCTTAATATAACAAATGTGCAACCCAACCTTCTGAGGAATTGTCTTCTTCCCTTTTATACCATTTGGTCTCGGTCATTTCTGTGCGTGAGGTCTCTTTTGCATCAACGTAATGTGAGAGCCATGAAGAGCTGTCTCTAAAAATGTGCCGGCCACTGAATTTGTTGTTGTTGAAACTTGTCAGTAGATGCCTTCTTGGAATAATTTCTGGAGACATATTCACATAGGTGAATTTGGGAGATCTGTCACAAAAGAGACACAACATTTCTCAATCTTTAGTTCTGTTTAATGATAAAGATATAATAAGATTGTGAGGTTTACCCGTGGGCTGATGTAAGCAAAGGTGGCAACCCTGAAAGGGGAAGACAAGTTTCACTACAGAGGAGCGACAATTTGATACAAACTTGAATTGACTGACTTTTTAACATTAGTAATAATATAATTTAGTTCCACCTGAAAGAAGTGTACAGACAGACAAACCTTTGTAGAATTTGTAGGGGGTAAAAGGCTGGCGGTGGCAGTGATGTTGATGCTGGCTGGACTTTATGATTTTTGATGACGGTGGAATGAGAGCCCTGAGGTTCAGTGGGGGAGAGGAGTGTCCCGGCCGTCCTGTCTCCATGTCCGGATCACCTGTAAAGTAAGTCAAGCAAGCGCTCCACATTAATTTGGAAATACTCTGACCTTTACCTGCAGACTGAATCTCCAAAATAAACCTTACCTTTGTGGGGTGAAGCACCGGTGTATTTGCTGTGAAGTGGGCATGGTTCTGGACTGTAACGTAGATCTGAGTTTTCCTGATTGACAAATTTGAAATGAAAGATTATGGTCTGCTCCAGGTATTGCAAGACATCTGCAGATTCTCTGTGAATTATTAGTGCTTACAAAAGACAGGTTTATGGTTGATGCATAAGGCTTCAAATAAATGACCTTCACATGATCACCTTTACATGCTTGCAACCCTGCCACAGCCTCACCTGACTGACATCACCATGGTGAGTGATTGTAGGACCTTTTCTCATCAGAGTGTTTACCTTAACAAAGGAGGAAACAGTAAGGATCAGTAAATGTCTTCATCTGTTCACCAGCCTCAATATTGTAGTGTAGCTGGTGTTACTGTGAAGACCACAAACACGTTTGGATGCTGTTTCATACGTGAGGTTTCTTCCTGTGGCGTTCAGCAGGCCTCTTTTGGACGCTCTCTTTGATTGTTTTGTCAGGGGGCACGTCAGACTCCTGCAAAGATCAAGAATATTGTTTACAGCAGTGATTCCCAAAGTGTTGGAATCGTTTGAATTTTAAACTAAACAGGATAAGATGCAATTTTACTGGATAATATCCTTTTGGAGTGGTTCCAAAATCAAACAGAATTTTCTATTGAAATTTCCTTTGGTATCCCAAAGAACCTTTAATGAGGGTTTTGCAATCTGGCTTAAAATTTTCATGAAATAGTTACAGTGGCTTGCAAAAGTAGACCCTAAAATTGTCCAATAGCATGTAATTAATAAGTAAATATCTGAGTTGGCTGCAGAAGATTTTCAGATTTTATATTTGGCCCATGTGACATTTCTAGTACATAAAACACTTAGGTCAGGAGACCATTTCTGACTGTATCTACAATATAAATAATGAAAATTCAAATCTTAGATGGACTTTGACTTTTATTCCAGACTAGATAACCTCAAAATATTTCCTCTTTTGTTCGATCATTTCATTTGTTAACATGCATCCAGTCCTGCATTTCAGGCCTGCATCACATTTTTAAAACAAGCTAGGATAAGAGTAAATGTGGGCTAATAACGTCGCAATAATTGCAATAATAAAATAAAGATGTGAAATGAGAGAGGTGATGTCAATGGGTGACTGCAATCATGATTTGGTATTAAAAAAATGAAAAAATTAAAGAATTGTTTAAAAGCAATTGCATATTTCTCCCTCTAAAGTGCATAAAACCATGAAATGGTTCAAGGAATCTGCAGAAATGCCAGCCTCTAAAAGGCAAGACCAGAAAAAGATTAAATATTTTGAGTTCATAATGGCTAAAATCAAACAAAAGTCAAGGTGAACTTAAGAATCACCAACTTTTTCCTTTTTTATTTAAGATCTGGCTGATTAAAGACTTTTCGTGTTGCTTTTCAGGACCTTTTGCTGTGTTTTGTTTTTTACTCTGTTTGGTCGTCGTCTATTCCTCTCTTTATGACTCCTGAAGTGTTTCTTTTTTTTCGTCACTGGAGTTTGCTGTGACAGAAAACAGAAGCATGTTGTAAACTAACAGAACATATGACTTAAAACTGATTACTACAGTCAAACAGGTGCTGGAGGCTTCGGTGTATTAGTGTAGTCAGTTTACCTCTGTATATGTTTCTGGCTGGTTCAGCAAATGAAGTGGGAGTCCTTCTGAATCTGAACTATCTGAGCCACTTGTGCTATGAGAGCAAAAGAAAAATGTTTGCATTCAGGCTAATTCAGAAAATATTCTCCCAATCTCACATTGCCCAAGTGTGGTTAGTATGGATAAAAATATATATTTTTATCACCTGGTTTCGAGGTCAGAGCTGTTGCCCAAATCTTTGCCCAGTCTTTCTCTGAACTCCTTTTGCAGCAATGCCAATTCTGTCAGACAATAAGTGATCTCAAATAAAAAGCACAGACAAAATTAAAATAATTGCATATATATACAGTCACTATATCAAAACACAAGTATCCAGGATTATTATTAACGGTCATACAATAGCAACTAGACTGAGTTGGAGCTTACTATAGTATTTGTTTTTATATTTGCTTAATCTCTCACCTTTATTGGATCAGGGTCACAATAGTCCAGGAGGGTGTCACACAGGTGAAAACCCAGGGACTTCAAGTCTTGAGTAGTAAAATGTGTTCCTCTCCTGTCGCCTAAGAGTTCAGCAAATTATAAATCCGCTTACGTGATATGTGCAAGCTTACAAAAAACATGCACATCTTCAGAAAGTTTTTTACTCACCTAAAGTGGAGCCTCCAAAGGTGGCCTCCATGGTGTAGCTGTTTTTGATGCCAAGTCTCCACATGACGATCCGTCCTGTGCCCTCTTTGCTCTTCTGCACCCGGAATTTACAGCTGTTAAAGGAGAACTAAGAAAAGAACAGTGTATATGAAATATCAAGAGTTTGATAGGTAGTAAACTTGAAGTTTAAACACTGGTGAGTGACAAACAGGTGGGTAAGGTAAGGCCCATACAACCACAGAAAAAAATGTCGAACTTTAATCTTAAAAGTCAGCAACAGTGTTTGAAAGCCCTCAGACAAAATACACTTTACCTTATTGCTAGCATTCTTGCTCATCATTAGTGGAAAGACTCTCGCGTGAAGTTTCAGCGTAGAGTCACCTTTGTTTTTGCAGCCATACATGAAGACATCGTTTTTTCGGCTGTGACCATGAAAATCACAGTAAAGAACTACATCTCTTTCGGCCAGTAATCTGAGGAAAATGCAGTGTGGCAGAGATTTCGATTAAGAAACAAATTCAGTCAACATTCACAATCAATTAAAAAATTGTGTATGCACAGGCTGTTTGGTAATCATCATATTTGAAACATATTGGAAAGCCTGAGGCACTTCAAAGGAGAAATATCTTGAGCTTGATTAAGCAACTCTAAACATGTCAAAAATGATATTTTTTTTTTATCAAGTCTCACTTTTCCACCATGTTTCGGGTGTGCCACACAGAAGGAAAGGAATCTCTGAGCAGTGTCCTGTAGTTTCTGTTGAGGTCCCTGCCTGCAAGAGAGCAGCGGTAGTTACCCACCACGACACCATCTGGGTTCAACATTGGGACCACCTGCAGCACCAAAGAGGAGCAAACAAAAATTAGCTTAATTGCCATAATTAAAACTAGAAAAACACAGCGATCTGTAACAATACGTTTAAAAAAAAACAAGTGTATTATAAAAAATAGGTTTATTATATTAAATTGATTGTTATCTTCTTTCACAAACAAAAAACAAAC